GATGCATTGGCTTCAGCGAGCAAAGGTGACCGTCCAATAGGCAATGGCGGATACGAAGTGAAGCTCGACGGTTATCCTGTTTAGTGTTAACGCCATGCAGAAGCCGTAGGCAAGTAGACGGGCGCCAACATTCAATGAGCTTGCGAGAAACTCTACTGCATGGTACAGCTCTCCAGCCGGCGGCCAGAGGAAATTTGAGGCACAAGTCCGAACGATGGAAGAAGACAGTTTAGTCTAACAGGTCCCAATGCAACGCTACCCAGCACGCCTTGCATGGGAGCCCAGTAGATAGCACGCAATGGGTGGAGGGACATTGATTATGGTTTGATCGCTTGAGACCCAAAGACCCGCCATGCTGGTTTAGTTCTGAGGGAAGATTTATCACAGCTCTGAGTGGCCCGTTCCGCGGGGTACCATGGGAATAACGATCGGGACATGCCGCAGGTGGCGCCCGGAAAGGAGGTGGTCTCAAGGTGGTGAAGGAAGACGCAAGAAGATGCGATTCAAGAAAAAGGAGCTTGATATCATTCAAAGTCTGGATGCCGTACGTCGTTCGATTGACGAGACTAGAAGATGCACCATCCCAGCTAGAGAGCTGACGCTTGTTGCTCTAGCCCTGGCGCAAGAAGCCGCTATGCTTCCCGAAGATCCTTCCGCACGGTCTATCGACCAGGCGAAGTAGATTCTGACGGGGGATACCCGGTCAAGTCTATCCTCAGTCCCGACCACCTGGAATTACTAACTTCGGATGCGAAATGAGCCTTCCGAGCTCTTTGAAAGCCAAGAAGATCGCTGGCTGTGCATGGGGCTGCTCAGACTCAGCACACTGAATATCGGCGTTGTTTTAGAATTGAGATAAGTTGAGCGTTCAGCGATGAGAAGACCCATCAACATGGAACTGAGGTATTCAATGCACTCTGCTTTGCGCCAGAATCTGGAAAAAGATGTCAACAATGCAAGAGATTACATATCATTGGCGACGGAGGAGCATGCTTGATCCGCTGCCATCCCTGGCCTGTCTCGCTGTCTCACCGCCTTGAGGCACGCAGCTGGCGGCGACTGTCCGCCAGCTGGAGAGCCACCCCACCTTGAATTCTGCCACTGCCCCTCCTTCGCACCCAACCGCCAAATTTCCGTTTTGACTCACTTTCCCGGAGCCTCAACTTTCCGTACCTCAACTTGACTCATATCGCGGATCGCGCAGGTTCCTCAATCGACGCAACTTTCCAAAGTGTAAACACGCCTAGAACCAGAGGACAGGCCCACTGGTCTTTGCAACCCTACGAAGGAAAGATAGAACGGAAAGCTAATCGCACCTCCTCGATTTGCGCACCCATGGCGGACCTCACGCCAGAGCAGAAGCTGGCTCTGATCAGAGAGAACTTGCAGGAGATTATCGATGTGGAGATTATCGAGGAGGTTCTCAAGACTCGCGATCTCAAGGTCTATTTCGGTTAGCACTCTGTCCGAAAAACAAAAATTGCACGTCGAGAGCTTGTGACTAACGAGCCTTGTGACCATAGGTACCGCGACAACCGGAAGGCCACACTGCGGTTACTTTGTGCCAGCGCTGAAGAGTACGTGTTTCCTTATAAATTGAAATCGTTTCAACATCCACACGAAGTCAATTGAGTCGATCCGAGGAGGGAAAACGCAGGTCTCGTGGTTTTTGAGAGTGGACTGGCGAAGCTTTTCTCTTTCTAATACCATATTGGATGGTCGCTGATTAAGGAATATCTGTAGTCGCGCAACTTTTGGCAGCGCAATGCCATGTCAAGGTACATGAAATTCGGTCTCTGATACTGATTTTGGCTCACACATACTAGATCCTTCTCGCCGACATCCACGGTTTCCTCGACAATCTTAAGGTATGGGACATGGGCTGAGTTGGGGCAGGCGGCAAATTGTGCAGATGGGATTGGTCTGACCTAGCTTTTAGGCCCCGATTGAACTAGTCAACTTCAGAGCAGACTACTACCAGTTTGCAATCACATCTATGCTCAAAGCAGTTGGTGTCAGCATCGACAAGCTGGAGGTAATTTCAAACCTGGTTCTGCTAATTGCTTGCGCTAATTGTCACTGGTCAGTTCATCAAGGGTTCCTCCTACCAGAAAGGCCCCGAGTATGCTATGGATGTCTACAAGCTATGCTCAGTAGTCTCCGAGCACGATGCAAAGAAGGCGGGCGCCGAAGGTGCGTTATATTGAGAGCAAGGTCCTGGGACATGTGTTGACACAGGATATCCAGTTGTCAAACAGACAGGAAACGCGCCCCTTAGCGGTTTACTTTACCCTATTCTCCAGGTCCTTGATGAGCAGCATCTCGACGTTGATGCTCAATTCGGAGGTACGTGGCAATCTTGACATTGTGTCGGGGTGGGAGCTGACAATTGAGTACCAGGTAACGACCAGAGGAAACTGTTCACCGCAGCCAAGGAGTGGCTACCAAGAATCGGTTACAAGCAGCGCGCTCATCTTCTTAGTCCCATGGTTCCAGGTCTGCAAGGCGGCAAGATGGTTCGTATTATACCTTTCTCGAAGATAAGAGTGATCATTAACAATAAGATAGAGCGCATCAGACCCCAACAGCAAAATTGATCTCCTCGATCCCCCCGACGTCGTGACTAAGAAGCTGAAAAAGGCCGAGTGTGTTCCGAAGGTTACTGAGGGCAATGGCGTGTTGAGCTTTACAGAATACGTGTTGCTACCAGCCGGTGCCCTGTGAGTCATGTTCCAAGTCTTTGTTTAAGTTTATGCTAATTCCGTGTAGAAAGTACGGCAGACCGGAGTTCCGTGTGGATAGAAGCCGGGACAACCTCCCGGAGCTCGTCTACACATCGATAAAGGAGATGCACGAAGACTACAAGAACGATGTCTTGACACCCCAGCTTCTCAAGCCCGCTGTAACGAAGGCCCTTATTGACCTGGTGAGATATTCTGCACCGCACTCAATGAGTCGTCTTACACCTAAATCTAATCTACCTCTCAGATGGCACCTATACAAGCAGAATTCCAGGCCTCGCAGGCATGGCAGGAGATTATGCCCAAAGCCTACCCGCCAGAGGAAGCGAAGAAGAAGGAGAAGAAGGTTAAGGACAAGGGCTCACGGCACCCCGGAGGCAAAAAGCCTGAGGCGAAGTCAGAAAGCGCCATAGCAGAAGCTGGCGATGCACCCGCAGCCTCGTCGGAATTGCCTATCCGATCATCTTAGACATGGTATCACATTTTGCATGTCTTAGTTGGATTTGAAGCCACATGTCTATAAAGAGTGTAGAAAGCTTAAGTGTTATGCATTAATGTTTATGCAACAGGCTTGCGCACAAGATCTGATCAGCTTACTAGCTGATCTTGATTTCATGAACCAAGAAAAATTCCGATGACGCGGGCAAGGCTTTATCTAGTATCCAGAAACAAGAGCCAAGGCGGCTTGCTCCTTATGTGACGCCGTGAATGAGGAAACTTGCATCGAATGATGCTGTGTTTCAGACATTTAAAAAAAATTCTACTTCTTCCCCTACAAGTTGACTTGCTGTTGACGCGCAACTCGGGATTGGTAAATTTAAAGGTAGAAAGATCCCTTGGCAAGGTGAAAGCCAAATTGTAGGCCTCAACCAAAAAAGTTTCAAATAATATGTAATAATGGGTTCTTGTCTTCCCGTTAGATGATAGTATATCCTAAGCACTCACGAGTATGTCCTTCACGTATTTAAATAGCTTCTGCAGCTACATTCACAGTAATTCCTGCCAGTCGCTACTAATATTACTTCACTTGCATCAACTTCAGGCGCCAGTTGTATCAAAGATAGTTATTGCACATGTTGAAGAGTCGATACTTCTCAATATCCCCCAGACTGATGCTTTTAATAAAGGACGAGCTAGCCCATTTAAGCCCGACACCACGGCAATTCATTGGTGGTTTTGAATCTCTTGGAGATTGTGCAGAGGAGAATATAATCAGTGTTTACACAACACAACTAGTTTCTGTCCTTATCATGTTTGATTATTTGCGGTAGAAATTACTCGTCCCAGTCAGTAATACTCACCGCCTCCTAGATTGTTTCTTCGGTTTCTTTATGCATTCATCCTCTGTTAATAAAGACCGCGTGAATTGAAGAAACCGATAGTATCTTCCAATACGGAAAAGCTCTTGATCGGGCCTTAAATTAACTGGGTAGGGAGGTAAGTTGTCAGCATCGCCTATTGTCAATAAAGCCCCAAGATCTGCCCCTAATAGACTTGTAGCATTCTATAACGGTAGGGGTGTGGCCAACGCTATGACATGGGAAGGCAGTTTCTGAATTAGCGATTGCTTCCAAAGATATAACTTTCTAAATGCCCCATGAATGCTATATGTAACGGGACACACTCGAACAAGTGACTCAATCTTATGGTTTAATAGTATTCCTACGAGAATGAAAACTCTTTGACAAACTCTAGCAAAGCTTCCCCGAAATCCAACCAATTACCACTTTTTTCAAGACACGCCACCTTCCGACGTCAACTTCTCCAATTTTAGTCATGATTTTGACCTAGACTCTACAATAGATAAGCATGAAACCATGGAGTGAACTGGGCTGCTGTTTCTCTAGCTCTATCGACTCACCTACCCATCCTGAGACCGATGACAACTCCCGAACTCAAGTTCCACCTGTTCCTCTCCCAACAAAATTTCCCGTAATACCACCAGATCCCAGGCAGAAGATTGCTTTCGAGCTTGAACGAATGACAAGCCAAAGCTCTGATTTCCTGAGTTAGAATAATACAAGACTACAGAACAGCAATCGCCAGCTTTAGAGTGGGTCGGACACCTTGGGAGACACCAATATGAGCAACAAGCCCAGCTGAATGACCTTCAACATAGATTGTGCCCGCTCAACAGCTTGCTGCGGAAATTGCTTTATCTACCTGGTGTCGAAGTAGAAGTCTCAAAGAAGGTTTTTGCTCTTCTGTGACGGGTGACTGCATTGGTAAAAACGAAAGTCTAGATAAACACAAGGCAGACGGTTGAAGAACTTGTTTCATATAGGCGCAATTGCTCAGCCCTTAATGAGCCAATTAGATCGCTATCACAGTGAGATAAGCGCGAAGGATCTTGAGTCTTAAGCGCTCATGTGATGAATACGCAGAAGGCAAGGTTCACGAGGCACAGCATCTGCACAGCATGTACTAATACCAATCCAGCCAAGCGATAATCTGGTGCAAGCATTGCCAGTACCGCCTAATGAGCCTCACATCAAGTTTAGCGTCTGGGCTGTGGTCTGTAGTAGTAATCATAAGCATTCGCCGAGATACTGGGCTATGCGCTACGCCCGTTCATCTGCCGGGTAAAGACTAGAAGAGACATTAAGGAAGACCCATAAAACTGTTCCGTTCGAAGTCTTGCCTTTAACTGCCAAAGTTCTATGGAGATCCAACAACATTCATGTGAGCTGCCACAAGTCGGAAACCCTCAAGGACAAAAATGTCTCTAACGTTTCGACCTTCGGCTCCCCTCAGGGCATAAACAGTTACGTATCGCCCTTTTGAAATTTTTTTTTTTTTTTTTTCTGAAAGAAGGCGGAACTTCCCAGCTGCCAGGTCTTGAGCAATTCAGAAAGAGCGACGACGCCGGATGCTATGCCGAATGAAGACCAAGGAAGCCCGGGGTCGGGACGGGGGGTATTCGTTGAAGTGGGTCACGGAGTCCATCTCCGCGCGCTAAAACTGATTATCAGATTTATCTGATAATCTATGCCCCACAAGCCCGGTCCATCAGCAAGCACAGGGGGACAGAATTACGAAGATATCAGCGGTTCTACTCGCCGTTATTCGCATGGCCTGCACAGAAATGCTCCGAGCAAAAAAAGTTTGGAAGAAAAAAAAATCCATGACTGTCGTGGGCCCATGCTTCATGGCACGATGGATCGAGAGCTAGACTCATGCACGAGGCCCACATGCTACATCCCGTCAACCCTGTGGTTGCTATATAGAGACGCGCCGAGCCCTTGGCCGTGAGAACCGTTCCCTTGGCGATACTGCAACCTCACCTTCCCTAGTACCAATCTGCAAACCAGATAGCAGCCTTGACTGCTCTGACCTTGTGAACTAGACGGCACTTGCTTCACTATTCAAAAGCCAAGCAATAGACAACATGGCCACCCAAGATCAGATTTCGGCAGCCCACACGGCTGAGCCTCGCGACATGGAGAAGAACGAGGTTGATGTTCACAACAGAGACCTATCCGCAGAGAAAGCCGACTCAGACTCCGAGTACAAACAAGAGGGTGTTAGGGCTGTCGAGGCGATTACCCAGGTTTGGACCAAGAAGGTTGTCATCATCACCCTTGTATTGTAAGTGTTATTTTCTCATAAGACGAGATGGGCGTCAGCGGGTCATGGATGGCTTTGATACTTCAGAAAAACAATGCCATAGATCAATCGAGACTGACAAGAAATAAACAGGATCTATCTCATCAGCTTCGTCAGCGCTTTCCAGCAGTCCGTCCAGCAAAATTTGACTCCCTACGTTACATCCGCTTTCAACGGTCACGGCCTACTCGCCACTACCAGCATTGTGTCAACCATTGTCGGTGGCGTTTTCAAGCTTACGATCGCCAAAATGATCGATATCTGGGGACGAATCATTGGCTTCTGTTTCGTATTGCTTTTGATCACCGTTGGCCTCATCATGAAGGCGGTTTGCAAAAACGTCGAAACCTATGCCGCAGCCCAAACTCTATATTGGGTCGGCCATCTGGGTCTAGGCTACATTCTTGACGTTGTCATCGCAGACATGACCACTTTGAAAAATCGAATGATCATCTTTGGCCTCACCTCAACGCCGACTATTGCAACTGTATTTGCCGGTTCCAAATTTGCGCAACTATACTATGACAATCTCAACTTTCGCTGGGCTTTTGGCTCATGGGCTATCATTCTGGTTGGCTTTTGTATCCCTATCCTTGCTATCTTTATCTATCATGAGAGGAAGGCCAAGCAATTTGGTCTGTACCCTGAGAAGCCGCAGGATCGCACCTGGTGGGAGGCTACCAAGCATTATACTGTAGAATTCGATGGTATGTTTTTGAAGAAACTCTTATGATCCCCACCTTTCAGTGATAAAGTCACTAACACCGGCGATCTTCAGTTGTTGGTCTTTTACTGACCTCGGCCGCATTCTCTCTAATCCTTCTTCCATTCAGCCTGGCTGACTCTGCGCCTCACGGCTGGAAGACTGGTTACATCATTGCTATGTTTGTACTCGGTGGCGTCTGTCTCGTTGGCTTTGTTCTGTGGGAGAAGTACATGGCACCGGTTCAGTATCTCCCCTGGGAGTACCTGAAGGACAGAAATATCCTCGGGGGCTCTCTCATCTATGGATTCATGTTCATCTCTATCTAGTGAGTTTCTGACGTCTTGCCTTCGTTACTTCTTGACAACTATGATACTAACATTTGAACTAGCTGCTGGGATACTTATTACTCCTCATATTTACAGGTGGTGAACAACCTGAACATTACCATCTCTGGTTACGTTCTGAACTCCTTTTCTCTTGCCTCATCATTTCTCTCCCCATTCGTGGGCCTGTGAGTAACTCCTCAACCTGATCTTCAAATCCTTTCAGTTCTGATCTTCTTGGCTACTTAGTGCGATCCGCTATACCGGTAACTATAAGTACATTGGTATGACAGGTATCCCTTTCATGGTACTGGGAACTGCCCTGCTTGTAAAATTCCGTACGCCCGAAAGCGGCGTTGGTTACCTCGTCATGTGCCAGCTCTTCAACGGCTTCGGCAGCGGCATCTTCTCCATGTGCGCACAAATCTGCATCATGTCCGCCGTCTCACACCAGGAGATTGCCGTTGTGTTAGCAATCTACGGCCTTTTTGGATCCATTGGTGCTGCCATCGGCGAGACCATCGCCGGCTCTCTGTGGACGAATATGCTTCCCAAGCAGCTGTACAATGACTTGCCAGAGGGCAGCAAGAATTTGACCAAGACTCTCTATGGCTCTATTGTCAACCAGAAGAAGTATCCTATCGGAAGTCCTGTGCGCGAAGCAGTGATTGAGGCCTATGGATATGTCATGCACCGCATGGTTATCGCTGGTGCTGTCTTCATCATCCCCGTTGTGGTCTGCTTGTTCGTCTGGAAGAACATCAATGTGAAGACCCTGGAAAAGACCAAGGGTACGCAAGCCAAGGGCAACATCTTCTAAGGGGCGTGTTGGTTATTGAGTTTTGTTGACCACGTCATGGAGCCATGATCAACTGCCAATTATGCCCCCTAAAGAAATTAGTCATTGTACATAAGACCTAGTCATTCTTTGTCTAGCTTGAGTTGCACTGACTGGTTAATCCTTATGTTGCTAGTGCATAATCGTTGGCATTATTATATATTATAGGGATTGAACAGAGCCAATGATTTTTCTATCGATACATTTCTTATGTTGTTGATAACGAGAACTGAGATTCACTGCGTTGTCGGCTCAATATCCTTTCTAATAATTTGTGCTCGGCATGAGAAAGAACGATTCAGGAAGACACGTATTTCAGAGTCTTCGATTCCATTGTTTCCAAAGCGTGATCTTAAGATGAGCTGGAGGATCACTTACCACTGTAAATTACCAGGTGACTTGCTTGTGAATAGTTACTTCAATTCCACTCGCTGCACTTGACTTGTACGATTTGTAATGTAACATTTGCTACGCCTCGTCTTCTCAATGAGTACCTATGCCTAACAGCGTCAAAAGGCTTGATATTGTGCGTAATGTGATATTTGGTTGGGTGTTGGGCAGCAGTAGGCTCTTGTTGGCCTGCTCCGGCAGCCTGCCACGGTTTTGGGCCATCGGACATCCAGCCACCACCAACAAAGTGTCAACACCGGTTGTGCGTTGGTAGTGGTGGGTAAATTCAACAACGATGCCATTTATTACGGTACAAAAAGTGTGCCTTATTGTAGCCCATTACTCAGGTGTCACGAAAGCTTGGACTCGCTAATCACTCATCCGAACTTCGAAGGCGAGCCTGTCAGAGGCGTGCGCATGATGCGTCAGAGAGGTTAAGTATTCTATATACACATATGACCTTGAAAACTCAACATGACTGACGATACTCGCTGGTTTTGGGTCATACCCGTCTCACGAAGATATAAAGCATTGGGTTTTTATATCTCTTTCCTTCAAGAAACTCAGTGGTCTGTTGCCAGGAGCATAGGCATTTCGGGGCAGATTACCATGCCGTCGACATCTGGGAGCAACAGTCGCAACAGCGATGACGAGCCTCATGGCTCTGTTTTTGGAAGCTCCATCAGCCAATCTAATCAAAGTTGCCTTGAGCTATTGCCTCTGGAATTATTCTACCACACACTCTCATACTTACCGACAAGAGATAGTGGACATATTATGGGCACTTGCCAACGATTGAACGAGAGAGTACGACCATATCTCTACGATTCAGAGGCACGGTCAGGTAATTTCGTTCTCGGATGGGCCGCCTACAAAGGCTTCATGAACCTTGTAGGCAAGCGACGATTCTATCTCTCTTCTTATACTAACTCAGTCTGCCATTCTAGGTTGAATACATTGTAGACATTGGTGTTGATGTGAATAGAGAGCTTGAGTGCACTTTTCTACCCAGAGTTGGAGGCGATGTACTACGATCAACTCCACTACTTCTTTCCGTTATGAGCAATAACGCCGGAATTTTCTTCCTTCTGGTTGATAAAGGTGCCGACTTGCATGCGGTTGACAGCGACAATAATCATGCGCTTTGTTGCTGTCATGCTGATCCCGCTATTACAAAAGCGTTGCTTGAGGCTGGGCTTGACGCCAACAAGCCTGGAAATTACGGACTTTCACCTTTGATGTCGATTCTCGACACACACGCCTATCGCATTCAAGTTTCACACCGAACATCCATATCTGCAGTCAGAGAACTCTTGGTCGCTGGCCACGCAGATCCCAATTTCAACACGCAGACGCGCATGACAGCCCTCTGTTACGCTGCTGAACATGGCATAGAGATGGTGAAACTTCTCCTCGAGTGTGGTGCTGATCCTAATGTCTCCGGCGGTATCTCCTATGACTGGCCACAGACACCACTAGAATACGCAGCTGGGCTCGATGGCGCTTCTGAGATAGTGAAACTCCTCGCAGAATCTGGCGCAAGCATTGATATCCGTTCGGACGAGAGTATCCCGTTGATCACAGCTGTTCGTAAACGCCAAGCCAAGACAGTTGATATCCTTTTGGCACTTGGTGCGGATCCAAATTACCACTTTGAGTTCGCAGATGGATCAGATAGACACTCGAGTTCTAGAGCAGATGAATTCAATGTTACTCCCCTTACTGCAGCAGCTGCTCGGCAAGATTGGGCAATCTTCACACAACTGGTCGAGGCTGGCGCTGATATCAATCAGATGGAGGTCAATCCTTTGATGTATGCGGCCAGGTTTTGCACGCCTATAGTCACCAAAGAACTCCTAGAGCGAGGAGCTAATCCCAATATATTTGCCAAAACGGAAGGCCCTGCTTACAATACCCTTCTTCTGGAAAGATACCATCCCCTGAACAATTATGAAACGTCTAGTGGCAGTGACAGCGACGACCATAGTCACAGCATGCAACTCAATCTGAAATTTGGGGAGAAATATAAGGACGATCGCGATGCCATCATGGATTTTCATGTGCAACATGGTCTCACTTTACACTCTAGACGTTTTGGCACAGAATACAGCCCGCTTTTCGTAGCCTTGATTAGTGGCAGCGTCGAGGGACTTGCAAGACTGTTCAGAGATGGTGCCAACATCAACGCACGGATTCGATACAATGGAGTCCGCAGATATACTCTACTACATCACGCATTATTCAATTATGGCGGGTCTGTGAGTCCAAAAGTGATCGAGTTTCTTCTGGACAATGGAGCCGATCCACTAGCCGGCTATTCACGACCCACTGATATGAGAATGACGCCACTGGGTTCTCTCATATACAGAAGTGAGCCCCTCAATGTTGCATGGGAAGATGATACGTGGACCGCTGCCTTTTGTCTCCTAGTGCATGAGAAAGCTGGTCCGCAAATCACGGCAAAGTTCAGCAATGCTATGCTCGCGGCTCTCCTTTGTCACGCAATTACACATTGCTGGGGACGCCATACACTACCGCGCATCAGAACCTTTGCGAAATTGACTAATTATAACAACCGCTGGGGAAGTGACGGCTTATCTGGAATAACCGATTTGGTTCGAGAGGACGAGTTCTGGTTCAGGTTCAAGAATGATATCCATCCATCGCCACAGAGCCAAGATCTCTATAGAAGAAAGAAGATTGATGATGTAAAGATTATCATAAGGCTCTGTACAGGACAAGATGCTGTTGATATTGAGGAATTTGCACCACAAGTCACATCACAACGCCCTTCAAAAACAGAAGAGATGTCAGAGGATGATTGGCAGCCAGCTCTTGACTTGCTGTTTTCTCAATACCTTACCATAACTGATTAAAGCAAATGTCAATGGGTTGACGAATCAGACTGTGACTACTAGCTCCCACGAAAAATCAATTTGCTAGATATTCAATTGATTCTTTTGCTTCAGAATCTCTGATACGTAGTTTACCATTTTCTTGCCCTGGTTGAACGCTTGCAACCGCCTTTTGTCCTGCCATGCAACTGCTACGCTCCACGAAGGTTGTTTGCTGCTGCGTCATGGGTCATATTTCAACCTGAAAGATTACAGCTAGGTTGCACTTTTTTCTAAGTTGTCAATCGATTATAAGTTCCTACTATGAGTGACAATCGTGGCAAGCTGGGTCATAGCTGTCGCCCATTGTCGCCCCTTGAAAACATTTACCACCCACACAGCCGTCGGAGTTTACGCGTTGGCTACCAACAAATTTCAGGTCATTCATAAAGCTTAGAATCTGTTCGTAATCAGAACCAGAATATTTGCAGACCGAATGAATAGCAAAATCTAACTGACACAACCATGAAGAATATCAAGGCAACAAGAAATGATATATTGATAGCGGCCAATACTACTAGATGTATCCAAAATACAAAGATTGATGGATTTTTCGATAAATTCATTGAACATGAACAGCCTTATTTGGCTCTGATTTTTCCACATTCCAGCCACATAATGCTTGGGTGAACGGCCCATTATGCCGAACTTCCAGATTTATTGACCACATCGAAGCCGCTCATGTCGTCGAGGGCTTTTCGAATTTCGACTACATATGCCGGGATACCACCTGAGTAGCAGACAGGCTCAAAAATCTTATCTGGTATACTACCTCCCATATAGGTCGACTTCACGGTTGGGAAGAGGGTTCTGTCGTTGAGTTCGAGAATGTGCTGCTTCCACGCCTTAGCAGAGTCTGCCTTGGGGTTGATGTATTTAATATTGTGCTTTTCCATCTTATCGATGACATCTGCAATCCAACGACCTTGGACCTGCACTGTGGAGGGTCCGTTGCTTAGAAGCGTAGGGCCATGAACGCCATAAATGTGGAACATATTAGGATAGCCGTGCACGGTGGTACCAAGGTAAGTGGTTGCACCTGAGGTCCACTCGTCTTGTAGTGCGGTCTTGTTTAGACTCTTAAGACCTAGTTGAGTCATGACTACAGTGAACTGATTAGCCAAGTTGTAAAATGAGAGCTTTCTGTTTTTATTCTAGAAGAACATACCTCCTGTCACAATATCCTATTGAGAGATTGATATGTTAGCAAAGGTAAATTACGAGTTATGGGAGAACAAACAAAACCGGTCGCAACTGCGATGACATCGAACTCGTGATGTGTTCCGTCCTGCAAAGTTATGCCAGTTTCGCTAAACTCTTTGATAGGATTATCCTTGATATTGACCAAGTCCACGGATGGTCGATTGAACTGCTCGAAATAGTTATACTCCAGGCACGGCCGCTTAACTCCAAAAAAGTGAGGCATCTCGAGAGGTGCCAATAGGTCCCTGAGTTTCGGGTCACCGATACGTTGTCGAACTTTGCTGGCCCAGAATTTGTACGATTCGCGATTGGCATCGGCGCTGAAGAGGTTGTCTTTATACAGTGCCACCCAGTATCGAAAGCCGCCGTCAGCCCAGACCTTCTCGTAGAATGCCTCTCGCTCCTCAGGCGTGTCATCGAAGGTGTTTTTCTCTGCCCAGTCGTAGAGAAAACCACCAAAGTTCTTTTCGCGATAATTGAAGAGCTCCGGATAGAACTTCTTTGCACGTTCTTGTTCCTCTACAGTGAGATCTCTCTTGCGCATCGGCACAGCAAGGTTTGGTGTACGCTGGAACACTTTGACTTCTCCGGCTTCTGGGCCCCAGGCCTGAACAATCTGAACTCCAGATGCACCAGTACCAATGATAGCGCATCGTTTGCCTTTGACTTCAACTTTCTCTTCGGGCCAGAAAGACGAATGGTGGATGACGCCCTTGAACTTGTCCATGCCTGGCCAATCCGGGATATATCTCCGTGCAGCCTATGAACAAAGCAGTCAGCGTGAAGATCATTCGAGAGCGTCGTAGAAGAAAATACCGAATCAGGCGTCCATAGAACAAAACAACAGTAAGGACGAATAAATACAGAGTGCCACTTACAAAGCCAGTGCCCAAAACAAGGTATTTTGCCGTTGTCGTCCTCCCATCCTCGGTGCGGATGATCCAGCGTCCTACGTCGGTATCGAAATGACCCCCGACGACAACTGTGTTAAAGGCGCAGTCTTTCTTGATGTCGAGGACTTTGTCGACATGATCAAAGTAAGCTCGCAGGTCTTTGTAGGTTGGGTAGTTGCTTGTCCAGTTCCAAGTTTTCCAAACCTCCGGCCAGGAGAACTCGTACTCCGGGACCTCGGAGTCCACACCGGCCCCGGGGTAGCAATTCCATCTCCAGGTTCCACCTGTGTCATTCCCTGCTTCAAAGATTACAGTCTTCAGACCTCTATCACGGAGTGTCTTGAGCATGAAGATACCGGCTAGTTTTGTACAAAGCAGTTACGGTTAGCCAGACGATGTCAAGTCTTGGAAGTAAGATAATCAATACATACCGAATCCGGCACCAACAACGAGGGCATCAACCTCGAGATCTTTAGCATACGGGCCGGTCTGCTCCTTGTTGGACACCGAGTAATCGGTGAGTTCAGTATTGAACTTCTTTGAGTGAGACGGAATTGGCTCTCCCATATTCAAGTCTTGAAAGGTTTGGTACTGTAATACTTCTTTTGGAAACTAGAGATTGAATGGAATTCTATATCAACTATCTTTGGGGTCTTAACTCGTAGGATAGTAACGGACTATTTATATGTGCTTGCACGACATGTATATGTTAATATTGTACTTGTGAAAATACCGTTCTCGCCACTTTTTGACAAGTTTCCAGGTAGCCATCGCGGAGGAGCCTAACATGTTCGTTTTCTCTGCCTCTGTGGCTCAGCGTAGAACCGCACCTGCTTCCTTGAGACTTGTTTGTCAAATCCATGGCCCGCACGACTGCCCTTCCGTTTCATCGCGCCGGTTCAGGTATGATTTCCAATAATTCAAACTCATCCGACAGTCTCCATATCCGATGCAGCTCCATAATCGTCATTCTACGCTCAGTCATCTTGGTTTCCGCACCCATACCTGTATGGTCCGCGCAAGCTTCCCACCTCGGTTCCGCTGAACTGCAAAAGGGGGTACTTGCCGCCTCTGCGCTTCCGACCTGTGTGCGGCAGAGGGAGTTCTCTTCCCCGCTCTTTTGCGGATCCGCAGGTGCAGCTGCACTCCATAGTTACCCCATGTTTTCGGAACCGCAATATTGGAGACACAGGTCCAATCACCATCCGTTGGGGTATTTCCATATCATCTAGACATCTTTACATATGTCTAGATGTATTATGACAAAATATCATGGGGGGTTGTAGAACTCTCTCGCGACCGGTTAAACCAGACTTATAACTCAACCAACAACGAAAGCCTTTTCCACCTTTTGGGTATGAAGTGTTGGAACTGAAAGGCAATATGCCGTTCAATACGCAAACTGTTACCACCCTTCGGGGTATAGTAGACGCGGCATGTGCAAATCCTCAAGTTGACATTCCCGGCACTACGGTGGTCGTTATCGATAAAGATGGGCACGACCTCTTCGCTCATTCCTCGGGCAAAAGAGGACTGGCCACGGATGAGAAAATGGGACTCGACAATGTGTTTTGGATTGCCTCCTGTACTAAGATGCTCACAGGTCTTGCTTGCATGCAGCTTGTTGAGCAGGGCGTATTGAAGCTCGATGACGCAAACCAGTTGGAAGGTCTTTGTCCAGAGTTAAAATCGCTACAGGTGCTGCTCCCTAATGGGAATATCGAGGCTAAGAAAAACGCTATCACACTAAGAATGCTTCTCAGTCATACAGCTGGGTTCGGTTACTCCTTCTTCAACGAACGACTGCGTGACTGGGGCTTTCCAGTTGGTATTGATGAGTTTTCGGGCCGATTCGAAGATATGAAGATGCCATTACTCTTCCAACCCGGTGAAGGTTGGGAATACGGAGTATGTAAAGTTTCTAACAATACTATACAATTCTCAAGATTCATTTCAAAAGTTTGAGAAAACGACTGGATATTTGCTAATATATTTCTCAGATTAACATTGACTGGGCTGGGATCGCCCTTGAGCGGGCGACCGGATCTACTCTGAATGATTATTTGCAAAAGCGAATCCTGCATCCACTTGGGTTACATAACATGTCCATGATCCCATCACCAGAGATGAGGACAAAACTAGCCTATATGCATGCTAGAGAGAAATCCGGGGCCCTAAGACCACGGGACCACCTTCTTCGTCTACCTTTAGTGGTGGATGCCACTGACAAGGCCGAGGTTGCAGCTGTTTTCAACAGCGGTGGGGCTGGAATGTTCGCCAACCCACAGGAGTATTGCAGTACGAAATGACCACCCTCCTTCTTAGATCAAAGATACTTTGACGGGTCTGCATTCATGCTAACTGGTCTGTCGTGATAGAAGTGTTGGCGGTACTCCTCAACGATGGGACATGTCCACGAACTGGCGTACAACTCTTGCGTAAAGAGACTGTGGAAGAAATGTTTCGAAACCAGATTCCGAAGTTTCCAAATGCTAGTCGTCAGGTCATCCCTGATGCAAAGCCGGACTTGACTAACCGCATCCCGGAGTTGTACCCTGTTGATGGAAACCCGCCCCAGGGCTGGGGTCTCACCTTCATGCTTAGTAACGGTGGTGCAAGTGGCCGTTCTAAATCTACAGGACACTGGGCAGGTCTTCCGAATCTGTGGTGGTGGTGTGATCGTGAGAACGGAGTTGCCGGAATTGTTTGCACACAGATTTTGCCCTTCGCAGACGCTAAGGTTCTTAGTCTTTGGGGCGCGGTCGAAACAGAAGTATATAAAGCTTTGAAGGAGAGTAAATAGTAGAAGGAAGTCACCTTGATTCTAAGTTTTACTAGTCGTGCTTCTGTTGTTGGAACAACATGTTTCAAAAATAGGGCTGGGGATGCACGCATCTAACCGAGTCGTTACAGCAAAGATAGCTTCAAAAACCGGCAATTTTCAGCCATCCCAGGGCGAACTCCATTGAACAGTCTGGGCAACATTCCAGTAATTCATTGTCTTGATACTTGCAAGCTTGTTCTTATGAGTGTCGAGAGACGAATGTGATATTTGGATGTCTTGCCATTGGTCGTCCAATGATCTGCACGCACGGGACAAGTAGTGCTTTCCCCGCATACCTGATCTGCTCAGCCACTTGGCCATACACCACTATATCCATTAGCGCAATGCGGGGAACATGGGGGACCTAGTCTTCGGTGTAGCGGAGGTTTCCAGGGAGCCCAGCGTAGTTTTGGTCCTGCCCTTCCCTCTTCTATCATCATAGGACTCTCTGTCCCACATCCTTCCCGCCTCAAATCGAAATCTAACACTATCTCAAGATACGACTGAAGTCCATGGATACAAGAGGCACTAAAGTAATGAGACGCCAGAATCGCTCCTGCGATCAGTGCAGGAAGGCGAAGAGGGCTTGTGATGCACCATCGCTCAGGGGCGATCTCCATACCCGAGTTTCAGGTAACTCGTCAGGGGGGACAGGAATCAACGGGCTGGAATGGCTGTCTCCTTCTTATGAAATGGGTAAGTAATCGGCATGCCCTCGTGCCTCGTCGTAATTGTACACAATAAAAAGTTCACTGCTGAGAGTTAGAGGTTCAGGTTCAGAGGTTTTGCCTTGTTCTTACTGTTTGAAAACCAAGAAACGTTGCACATTGAATTGGGCTCAGTCACAGCTCAAGGCCAATGAGGCTATCACATCCCGACCACAACACTTGGGGAGAAATAAACGACGGCGAACGGAACGTGAGACGGCATCGAGTGTTTCGTCAAGTTCAAGGCACCCGCGTTCAGAAGGAAGCGATGAGGCTGTAGGGATTTTGCACATGCTCCAACAAATCCCTTCTCCAGAATCTCCGGGAATGTCATTTGGGAACTTTACCAACTCTCTTGGTCCCTCTATTTTTGAAGGCTCTTCGAATTTTGTTAGTGGGTTTCACGACTGCTTCCATGATACTCAAAGTCCAGATTTGGGACTTGATGAAAGTGATGGTTGTGCGGGATCCGGATTGCTCGACTTCACGTTCAACAGCCAGGGAGACAGCTATAATATTCAGAACAAATCATCAATCGATCCCATGTCCGACTCAGCAACGACGAATGGTACACATACATCTGCACCGGATTTGACGAATTATGATGATGTTCTCGGATTCTCGATGGACCCTTGGCAACCCGCCGTGAGCCAGAGACACGGAGCGTTGTCCCTTTCCGTTTTGAATGATAATAACTCCTATCCTAAATATCCACAGGCTGATCTGCTGCCGACATCTCGGCGCCGATTTTCGAACTCTTCCGCACCCTCCGCACTAGAGTCTGCTATGGCCACCAAGGTAAATAATCATAGCATCTCTGAAAATCTTCTTCATATCTATCATGACGTCCTTGAACATAATCTATCATGCTGGCTCACAGAAAAAACATGTCCATACAGAGGAGACTTCCGAACGAAGAAGGTGGCAGGAAATTTGCGTGACCAATTCGCAAGCCTCCCGGAACTTGTGGTAGAAGGGCCACAGCCAGGGCAAGAAGAAGGCAAATGGTCAAACAGAATATACCATCGCGTCATTAAGCTCGATAAGATAGCGCAGTCGACAGGTCTTATTCAACTCACACGAACACAAACGCAAACAGCTCAGAGGGCGCTTCACCTCGTTATTATGGCTTTTGCAACACAGTGGGCACTTAACAGTCGCCGTCAACGAGAGGGATATACAACAGACTTTGCAGATATATATCGCAGCAGCTTTCCTGAGGAATTTGATCGTCATCTTCAACGTTCCTTATGGAGGCAAGCTCGAGACGCTCTTCAGGACTGCGCAGATATTGAGTCATATAGGATTGTGTGCGCGGAGTTAATATTTGGCTTAACACAGAAGCCGTGGGAGGAAGACGATATCCTTCTCATGCATGGCAGCCAGGCGATTCCGACCGAAAATGACCGAGCAGCGAATCTAACTCGCGCCTCGATCTTTTCTGAAGTCGCCGAGATCCTAGCAAAAGAAGGCCCACCTATATTCATGGAGAGGGCAGCTCGAAAGATGCACACTTTAAAGTTTAAGTTTGACAGTCAAGAGGCAGGCTTGATGCGAATTGGCGATGTGTATCGACCTCAGCCAAATCAACCTAGGCTGTTTAAAGACTCAATCAGTCCCCAAGACAGAGAAACAGTGGGCCTTTTATATTGGCTGGCAGTTATGTTCGATACTATCTCCTCCTCCATGAATGAGAGGCCGGTAGTTGTGGCCGACGAGGACAGTCAGCACGAAGCAGCTGGAGAAGTGCATCCAGCAGATGGACCTCAAGTTTCAACACACGACTACAATAAGTCCAATAATCATCGGTGGCGAATTGATCTGTTCATCCAGGATAATCCTGAGCGTTCATTACACTCTCAACTTCGCTGGCCATGCTCTTATGATGAAGCTGCCAACATGGTCACCAGGTCCGCACCAGTGAAGGTCCTCCTCTATCGATACGTCCACTACCTTCAAACTAAGGTTAGAGCCCCCAAGAAAACAAGAGGCCAGCCTATGGAAGAGGGTATACGAGATGCTCTACTGGTTTACAGATATTGGAATGTCACCTACGGCCCCTTCTTTCGGGATCTCATCGAACAGTATAATTATGTGCCATCACGCATACGGGGCTGGTTTGTCTGCATTGTTGCACATTGGCACCTTGCTTCGCTGATGCTCGCCGATTTAATCGAACTTATCGATGATAATGGACTCGGTTTAGCATCATCCATGCAAGCACGTATCAGTGCTCACACAGTGGCCAGTATCAGGAAGTCTAGCGCAGGCCAGCTCTCTGATCTGGCAAAGGTTGCTACTCCAAGCGGTCTTGGCCATTCGCAGACGGAGCCCCAGCTACCAGATTTCCATTTCGCTGTTAGAGAAGGCACCATTCTGACGGAACCTTGGACAATGATTCTCATCCGAGCTTTTACCAAAGCTGCGATGCTACACCTACAGGAAATGAGCGACATAGAGCTACGTGGCCAGAATGACATACTGGGCCACGATGGCGAGACGCTCTCCAGTTGTCTTCGGAGATGTGAGGAGTGCATACGAGCTCTCTGGTTCCTTGGGAAGAAGTCAGACAGTAAGCGATTTTCTTGAGCTATGGTTGCCATTTCCAATTCTCCATCCTGAGTCATTTCGATGGGGACCTAATAACAAATCGAGTTGTTTGATCCGGAGTCATTCTCTATCAAGATCTAAGTCCTTAAACTTTATGATTCATAAGAAAATTGCTGACTCTGAATGTTTTAGTGGCAAGGAACGTGGCTCTGGTTCTGTTGAAGGCGTTGAACTTGTCAGGGAGATGTGGTTCCCTAGCAGTCGACCCCAAATGAGCAATTCAGCTTCCGAGTTATCTTGTGAATTGACTCATGAAACGAGCTCAAAAAGGTGTAAGGGCGTTCTAGCACGTATCCAAGTAATATATCGAAATTGGGATCATAAAATTAGTGTCTGATCGAGAGTAGGCTGTACATATTAACCCCTAAAGTCTTAAGTGAGTCCTTAAAGAGCTCAAGTACCCGACAAAGTAGTTTGTCTCTTGGAGAGTGGTGCAAATCCAGGCGTCGACCACCGCATACGAAATACCCGTAACCCACTTGGATTTTAGATAATCCCCAGGGCGATACCTGCATTTTGGAGGGTTTCGCGCGATTATGACAGAGAATGAGATGCGACTGTGATCCCTAAGGATCTCAAAGACACGGGAAAGCATGTCGCTGAAAAACTATAATGTTATGGAGAGAGATACAAGTACAAGTCAAGTAAATGAGGCCGAAGCCACAATATTTATCCAAATCTGTAACATTACCCAAGGATTATGAGAGTGTCCTGGATAATATAACAACTATTAGACTGACGCATCTACCATGGAACTGCCTATTTCCATTATTCATTACGAATAGCGTTTTCTTCCTAGCACCTGAGAATGATTATCTGCTCTTTCAAATGGTAATGATTTAGCAGAAATATTTGGCCAGGAGTGGCCAGACAAAAGCATAGAAGACTCGCATTTTGGCCTGATGGGCTTCGCAAAAGGTGAGTGTTCTCCTAATGTTCACAATCCCGGCCACATCTCCGGGCCTTATCCATATTAGGATATAGAGCGGAGCATCAGGAAAAGAAGAGCTGGATTATATCTTGCTTTTAGCTCACTGAAAGAGGAAGCTATCTACCTATCTACCTTGTCCAGCGCCAACTGAAAGGTGTGTAATGCACAGAGCACAGCCCCACCAACAGCATTACGCGCCGTGCCTAGGTGGTTATGCATGTGCACCTCCAAGACAAGGCTGATTTGACGCTACTCGGCGAACGGCACTGCTATTATCAGTATCATCGAGAAAAGCGCTCTCAGTCCCCTAGCAGTGCAGTCTGCCTTATCTGCAGGAGGTCTCATCATTGTCCCATCCGATGGCTAAGGGCGTCTGCTGGCCAATTGCCAGCGCCGTAGACCCGGACCCTGTAGACTGATCTGGCGCCGTACGTTGACTTCGCCTGCATGGAACCTGAACACTTCAACGGTCAACCCACCCATTTGAGACGATTCACCCCTGGCCGCTCACCCAGCCACCTCCCGGACCGGGTCGCCTATGTGCAGTAGCCATGCGGCCATGTGGCTCAGGCAACACTCGCTGAACCAACAGACTCCGAAAGCTGGTCATTTTTTATCCCTTCACTATGAAATTGTTATAAGTGGTGCAAGTGTACTGGAAAGGAGCAGCACTCCCTTGTCAGTCATGATCCTCCCAAATGGATTCCCCTGGCGTACCGGATTCTCCCCCGAGCCCATATATCCCAGCTCCCGTGGTGAGCACGCTCCCAAAACCACGTGGCAGACCTCGAGGAAGCAAGGGAAGGATAAGACCTGGGGATGGTGCGCGCGTAACTAAGTCTTCCCCGATACCCGCCAGCCGAGAGTCTCCGGACCACAGGACGACGCGCTTTCCATCCAGAGCGTCGTCGGCCGTAGTACGTCGGCTTTTCCAAGATCCCAATTCTCCCTCAGGACCTCAAAGAGAGAAAACTCGCGACGGCGACACGATAGTTGTGGATTTAGCGGTGGAGAACCATGTTGACCGCGAGCGACCACCTACAGCACGCGAGAATGAGCCCGCGGCGGCCTTGGAACGCTCTCCTGCGTCAGCACCAGAGGTCCCGCGGACTCCGCGCCCGACGCCGACTCGTCAGAGTAAAAGTGAGCCCGCCCGGATCGAGTCGCTGAGTGCGTTCCAGCTCGACAGTATGATAGCTGCAATGATCCGGAAGCCGCTGCCCGAGAAACAGAGGCAGAGCCAGGGGGTGGGGAACAACTACGCTTTCGAGGTCGTGACTGCGTCCAGCGGTAGTGAGAAGATCACCAAGATCGGCTTTACCAAGGGCCCGGAAAAGAGGCGACTGTCCCGCATCCTCTACGAGTGCCAACACCAGAAAATCGAACATGAAGAGGACCCTGAACATGTCCCTATCCGCCTGTATGACAAGGCGGAGAAGCTCGCCCTTCAGGAGCTCTCCGGCTTCCGGTATAAGTTCAGCTGCAATTGCAGCGTGAAAGAACACCGCGAGTACTTCACAGTCAGGTCAGAAGTTGCACGCGAGGTTGTGCGGCGCTGGCGGGAGTTCTGCAAGCAGGAGCCGTACGACGCCGAGGGAAAGCTGCGAGACTTCTGGGAACACAGATTGAGAAGGATGCGGCGTGGCGAGGAGTCCGAAACGATCCACGACCATGAAAAACGTGCCCTGCGTTGGGAAGCCTTCGTGAACCCGACAGACCTCGAGAAGATATGGTTTGAATTTACCCAAGGCTTCGACAAGTTCTGGGGATGGAGATGGCAGGGGGTTGCCTTCATCGAGTGCTGCATGATAGTAGTACTCAGCTTCCCTTCCTTCAGGGCTGTTCTCTTCTTCTTTGGAGTGGTTTCATTGATCCTTGCTGAGCTGCTCGGGTTTGAATTGCCATTAACTGTGCAAGTCGTGCAGGATAATTTTGCCAAATTTCAACAACTTTCTCGATCTCCATCGCTCACCATATCTGAGATGGACAAGCAAAATGCGGATTCGCCAACAAGAGAGATACAAGCTGGGTCAAAATCGGAGGACAAGGAACTGATTCCTGGCATAAATAGATTGGAAGATCACGACAGTGCATTGATGGATGACGAGAGTGACCGTGAGGAGAAGTCTGAGCTTTCTGTTATAGTGATACCTGATGATGAGTGATTAAATGACTTATTGACATTGTAACTGATGCTTACGTCTGACACATATCAATTGAGAAGCCTAACAATATGACACATAGACATCCTTGCTGCCATTGATCGTGTAGCGTTAAGGCTGCGTGAGAGTGTTCTGGACGGACCCCGTTCGGGTGCCTGCGGGTGTGCCTGTCAGTTGAATTATGAGGTCTGTTCACCTGGTGATTGCTGGCTCTGGACAATTCTCATCGAACAGATGACATACAGATCATTTGGGCTGCGAAGCAATGAACGGGGTATCTAATCTTTTGAGTCTAATAGCGAGATGATACTACTTTGGCAAAATGAAATATAGCATCCGAGACATTCTCGCAGACGTGTGTAAAGATGAGGTGATCAGAACAGCATTTCCCTAAATTTCTGCAGAAAGCGAATAAGTGAGGCACTGAGTACAACTGAAATAGGATCGTTAAAGCCTGTATGACCTTTGCCTCATGAAATGAAAATCGTAGAGGGTATCTATTCCATGGACGTCACGCGTTGCTACCTGCTGTATCGGGCGAGAGAGCGCCTAGGTAGTTTGTTTGCTGTCAACTGAGCTATCATGGATATTCCTAGTCTACAACAAAATAGGCAAGCACGGTGCTGGAGATTAATTCTACATCGGGCTATGGAGTTGACGCCGAGAAGAAACCGTGTAATAAGATTCGTAAAGAAGCTAGAGAGGCATGAGCAGACTGTTCGCTCGTATATTTCTCACGAGGCAGGGATTTTAAATGGATAGGCTTAAAATTGCCCCTTGTTGAGGACAGTAGTTCGGTCTTTGTAGTGTGTATTGGCTATATCGTGAGCGGCTGTTTGCTTCTGACGACACCTACTTCGGATTTCCTGGTTGAAAATCGGTTCACTTGGAGATGGTTCAATTGCTCCTCTCACACGGCGCCAACCCAAACTTCGATCCCGACAGTACGAGTCGATGGCAGGAGGATGAACATCAGTACTGGGTGACGCCTTTGGGACGCGCAGCATCTAGGCATGATGGTATCGAGGTGGTCCGACTCCTTCGCAACACGGTGCACTCATTGATGGGCATACCGCCTATACTTGTCCCCTGGTCAAAGCTATCGAGGCGAACGCAAATGACAGTATCTAACTTCTATTGGCGGAGGGCGCGAATGTGAATTAGGCAGGATTCACCGAAGTCAATCTACCTGTGCCTAATGATGGCAGTGAACGCTTCCAAACTCCTCTCGGAGCTGCAGTCTCCACGCAGAACTTGGATATTGCGGCGCTGTTGCTGGAATCTGGAGCAGACATCAACCCAGGATGGCCGGACCTTTAAGGAACTGCAACCTCGACCCTTTCACTCAAGACTGTTAAATTTCTCCTCGACCATGGTGCGAGGACGCAAGATAGCATGGCTCATGCGGGGGCGATCTCTGCTTTGGAGGACCAGTTTTTGGATGATTGGGTGCCTTCTGATGAAGAGATTCTTCTCGAGCAGGAGAAATGCTATCAGATCCTGGACCTCCTCACTGAACTTGGTGCTGCGCAGCTCGAC